CCCACTAAATAACATTCATCCACCCTTTATGCCATCAATACCGTTGCAAGGGTGAACCTGCCTGAATCGTAATCTGTCTTTCGCTTTATTTGTTTGTTACCCATCTTGTTCAGCCGCAGCTGCCCCACTACTAGCGCTGATATCGAAGCTTTCAATCCCGCAAGCGCAAATTTGCAACGCGAATGGGCCGCCAAGGTGCACGAACGGTATGACCATCAATTAGGGGTATGCTAGAGCGTACTTTCTCCCAGATTCACTACTTTGGCGGCTTAAACATGTGGGAAAAGAGATTCAAGGAAATGATACGCTACCCAAATTGCCACCATGAGGAGAGCCACTCGGCTAGTAAGATGCACATGCTTAACGCAAGGGCTAGCAACGGGTGCTTTGGACCTCCGAAAGCCTAAGGTAGGACGACATCTAGGCCACATGAACAATTCCAGGCAACAGCATTCTGTTTTTCAAGGTCTATTGCACTGCAGCATACACATTTGAATTTGTACATTATCACTACCTCAGTTTCCCCCCAATTTCCACCCCCAAGCTTACAAAATCTCCTCAGGCTTAACAACAACCCAATTCCTATCCGCCTCCACCGCCCTCCCATTCTCCCTCTGCGCCTCCGCATTATCCTTCTGCTCCTTGAGTATCTGCTGATAATACGCCTCCTTGCGGTTAATCCACAAATGCACGCCCCCCCTTGCTGACATCCACGCCATGGAACAGCATGTATGAATCACTCCCCCGGCGTATCCCCACCCACCAGCACTGGGCCGCTTCCACTGATCAATGTACCGTCAACACCGCCGGCCCACCTTGCCCGCGAACCACGTTCGCGGGCGTGTACAAGTACGGGCGTGACCTTCGAGGTCGGCCAGGAACGCAGCGGGGTCGTACGTCCCATCTTCAATCTGCTTGCGGGCGGTCGTCAGCGCGCCGGACGTCTTGTTGCGCAGCATAGTCGTCACGCCGATGACATTTGCGGGCGGGACATTGTAGCCATATTTCGGGTCGCTGGCAACCATGCGCACGAGTTCTTCGCTGGTGCCGCAGACATGACGTACACGGCTATGCCGTTGTCCATGAGCGCGTTGTAGAGCTCCGTCTGCCCGCGGAAGATCTTGGGCGGCGTGACGGTCGAGGACACGACTTCGTCGTCGGAGTAGTATTGCACGGGGATGGATGTGTTGAGGGCCATTAGTTCGTTCGACGGTAGGTTTTCAGCACCGACAGCGAGAGGCCGGACCATAATCTGCGCGGCCCAGGGATAGCACACGAGTTCGTCGACTTCACAGAGACGGTTGTAGTAGCTATACAGCGACTCTGTGAAGTTGGCCGTGTCCTTGAACGGGATCAATTTCAAGCTGGGATCGAGAGTTTGGCGCGTAAGGACACCGCGGTTTTCGAGAAACGGCAGCAGCGATTCTTCAAGGTCGTAGCGGTAGCTGGTGTTGTCCATGTCAAAGACTGCGTAGTTGCTTTGGTTTGCGTTTCGGGTGATCATGGTGCTGAGGGCTTTTGCTGCAGGGGCGGGCCAGTGCTGCAACGCGACGGAGCAGTTTGAACGCGCGGAGACATGGTGTTCTGAGATGCTTGCTGCATGGCTGGACGCCAGCAGTAGAGAAGATGCAGCGAGTGTGGCGCGTGGGAAATGCATCGTGATGATCTAACGTCTCAACTACAAAGCAGATGAATCACAAAAAGCGACGACGGACGACTCTTTTCTCTTTCGACGATCGAAAAAAAAAACGAGCGGTTTTTCTTATCTCGACGACGGGAAAATAAGTTGGTTCGGCGCCTTTATGGAGCTTCTGTTGCCGTGATCCGCACGAACCGCCAAGGAAGAGGGAAAAGTAGTACCTGCATCACCCGGGCGCTCGTGCACGTCACCGTACACGAAGGTGCCCGCGTGTGCATCTTCCATGATCAGTGTTTTGACGCTGGCGATTCAGAAGGTGTAGCGTGAAGGCGACATGTCAGTGTGAGGACAGCGCTGTGAATCTGACTCTGAATCACTACTGGTAGGACCGAGCTTCGGTAATGCTGTTTCTGGCAGGATCCGATGGCGATGGAGATGGGCTGTCCGCTGACGTTGGGCTCCATGTTAAAAATGCTCAAATGCCGTCGTTAATTGTTAAAATTGAACGATATTGTCTAGGTCCGATGTCTTCGATGTTTTCAATGATATCGCAGCCTCAATTGTCTACGCACTGCGTGCTAGTCATGTGATTCCCGAAAGACAACATCTACTTCGACTCAGTCAGCTGTCCGAAACGCACTGCCATGCTCGAACATTCCTTTGGCCGCAGTCGTGTTCTTCGCTTTGCCCAGAGGTTGATGAGTGAGCATGAAGTTGAATAAGCGCTCTATAGCTGACCACCTGCAAAGCCGTTCCAGCGAACCAAGTCGGACATTTACATGTTAGCCTCAGGCATCCATATCACTATACCATCGTTGCGCAGATGCTTTGAAATGCAGCTGTTTGCACCAGACGAAGTGGTTCGCTCGCCGACGCTGCCCCGCAAACCGCAGTGCGGGCAGACCGACGTCACGATTTCTAAGCAGGACGAAATGTGACGAAGAATACTGCAACCATATAAACCCCTCAATTGATGTGTTACAGCAATATCCATGTCACTCTTGCGTTTAACTCACCCACCGCGACACTTCCTAAAGCTTAATTTTGTAACTAGAAGCTACTTCCAGGCTCCCAGCTACCGCTTCACTGCAAACTTCCACACGTCCAAACCTCTTTACGACATGTCCAGCGACGAGCGACCAACGGGCCTCAAGGCCAACAAGGGCATCGAGCTTCTCACATTTGGAACCCCCAATGGCTGGAAAGCTTCCATTCTCCTCGAGGAATTGAAGGAGACGTACGGCAAGGACTTCACATGGCAGTCAATCAACATTTCACAAAACATCCAGAAGGAGGAGTGGTTCACAAAGCTGTGGCCCCAATGGCCGCATCCCAGTGATTGTAGACCACGACCAGGGTGGTTTCGCCGTGCAGGAAGGTCTTGGTGAGTGCTTTTCTTCCACTCTGACATAGCCAAGCTTATGAACATCCAGCTATCCTCACATACCTCACCCGCAATTACGACCCCGAGTACAAATTCACCTTTAAAGACCCTCTGGATTACTCGAGGGCTGAGCAATGGATGGCATGGCAGCACGGCGGTCTCGGCCCCATGCAGGGACAGGCCAACCACTTCAACCGCTTCGCAAAGGAGCGCATCGCATACGGCATGCAGCGCTACACCGGCGAGACTGAGCGCCTCGTTGGCATTCTCGACACACAACTCAAGAGCAACGACTACCTCGTTGGCAACAAGTACAGCATTGCAGACATTGCGAGCTTTGGCTGGATCCACATGCTCCGATTCTCAGGTGTCGACTTGGATCGCTTCCCCAACCTGAAGGCGTGGTGGGAGCGCATCAACGCGCGACCCGCTGTGCAGAAGGGCTTGAACATCCCGTCTAAGCCCGGTATTGGCAACGACGGGTACCTCCAGAAGCTGAAGGACGACCCAGAGTTTGCGCAAAAGGAGAAGGAGCTTGCAGAGCAGATCCAGAAGGCGAAGGAGCAGTACGGCTACAAGTACTCGTCGCCGTGAGCGTGCTTGAAGCGCCCGGATGAGCGATGCCGCAGCTAAAAAGCATGAATGCAACAATGAACAAAAGAAGTTTTGCAAGCGCACTGTGCACCATCCCGTGATTGGCAAAAGACGCCAATCATTTTCTCACAACGTCCGAAACGTGAGCGAACTTTCCCCAGAATATC